AAAAAAAAAAAAAGAAAAGAAAAAAAAAAGTCATGATGAATGCAGAATGAAGAGAAAACCCATTTCATAAGTATTTCATTTGATTAAAAATACCAGACTTACATGTTCTAGATGATCTGAGAAAAAAAAAAAACTGCAGTTTAACAGTAATCTGTATATATATCTTTAGCTGCCATTAAAAAAAAAAAAAAAACCACCACCAAAACCCAACCAAAAATACAGAAAATGTGAAGACTGGTATTAAGTAACCCTGCAACGCTCCCATACTCACATTACAAGAAAGAACAACTGTACACAGTTATAAATAAAGTCTCTCCCCTGGTTACCACAGAGCTTCCTTTACACCAGTGTCTCTTTCCGCTTGCCACCGACCTGGGTTTTGTCCCTGGCTTTTCGGAGGCCAGCCTGGGCTCGGGGCGCTTTTGTGCCCTTAGCGTCGTCTGCTGTGTGCACCGGGGTGCCACTTTCGGAAGCGTCTCCATCAACTTCCACCTGAGTCACGCTGGATGCTGTGGACGCCCGTCTCTGGGCCCTGGCATTGCTGGCAGGGGGGCAGTTCTCTCTGTACTCCTCGTGGGGCTCCGGCAAGCCCTGCAGCTCGGAGGGGCTGGTGGCCTGTCGGGAAGGGGCCATAGCAGCTCGGATACAATTGAACCACTGCTGCTTGTGGAACACATCATTGGCTTGTAGAGTGTGGGACTGGCCTGGAGAGGGGTCTTGGAAGCGAACTCGAAAGATATTTTTAGCTAGAAAAAGAAAAATTAAAAAATGGAAATCAGACTTAAAAAGTTTATTCTAGATAAAGTGAATATGGGTGCTGGTATTTATACAGCATGCACATCTGTTAGGCAGAAATATTACATAGTGCCTAGATGCTACTTATTAGGTGCATGTGCTGGTGTCAGAGCAGCACAGCACCTGCCAACTCAAGGAGTGTAATAGGTATAGGATGATGGAACCCATTTCATTTTTAGTTTTTTGTGTGGGGACAGAATTCTTAAAGATTAAAACTGAGTTTATGATTATTGAAACTATTTTAAAGTGTGTATTTTTACCTTTATCTGAATTGCTGAAAGCCCCTCGAAAGGACCCTCCCATCCTCACATCTCCATCCTGCAGGTCTTCCAAGACCAGCTCCTGGATTGGGATTGGCTGCCGGTAAACCTGGTAGGAGTGACGCTCGTTTCGTGTAACAGGCCGAGTCAAAACCAAGATGTCTTGAAACAGGAAAATGTAGAGTTTCTGGAGAAATGAGAGAAAAAAAAATGCTTCCTAAATATGGAACTTTGTGACTTTAAGTGACTGAAATCCATTGTAAAAACAACTTGATTTGATCTTACTAATTTCATCAAATTGATTTACTAAGATCCCCCTTACAAATGACTTCATAACGATGGTGATTTTAAAGCTATGCATGTCCTCCTTGGAGAGCTTTTGTCATCACAGACTATATGCAACTTTTTTATCCGTGTGTAACATTAGATTCAGCAGCAGCTGAGCAAACGCTATGCACCACAAAGACCTGACTGTCGGTGGTAACATGACTGGAAACACCAGGACTATACACCACAGTCTTCTAACAGGGTGAGAATTTTAAAATGTAAGCTGGTAAAAATGTTAATTGTTCTGTTTTGTCCCACATAAATTTAAGCTTTTATAGAACAATGAGGCCTCATGATAGAAATCAGAGATGAAAGATTAACTCTTTTCCAAAAAAGAACCTCAACTTACAAATTGGGCTTCTGAAAAGCATGTAATGAAATAAAGATACCATCCCATGCTTATACTTAGTTCTAGCAGGTACCTTTGTAATTAAGATTTAAAAAATAAGTTTGCTCTCATTCAATCTGCTGCAAAAATTTGTTTAGTAGTGCTAAAAACTACTTCTATTACTATAAACTCTTCAAAAAATTTTTTTGAAGGATATGCTTTTTTATTAAACATAATAAAACTAATAATTTATTTAGAAAGGAACCCCTAGCCAAACAAGTTGATTTGTGCTTCAAAACTAAAAAATAAATGATTACTGATTCTCCACCAAGACACTTAACTTATTTGGTAATGACAGAAACCAAATGTTTGCTTTACCAAAGCTGATAACATAAAACCCAGTTACCTTCTTTCAGTATGTGATGAGTTTATTTTATAAACCTGCTTCATAATCAATGTGGAAAAAAATTAAACAGTGGGAAAAGGGCAGTAACTGCTCACTTCATATGATAGTGTCCAGTGCACTTACATGTCCATTTTTATTTTTCAGTTCCCCATGGCAAAGCAATACTTTGCTAGCTTCAATTCTAGGGTCCTTCTGCTTTTCATCCAGATACTCCAGCTTGTCAATGTAATACTGGCATTCCGATTCCCCTTTCTTCAGGTTGATATCAGAGAGAACTCCTTGTATTATCAATATCTAAAAATAAAAAAAAAAAAAATCAATGTAGCATTTTCAGCATATTAGTTTATTCTGTTTCCCT